GCGCGCCCCCTGGCGGCCGGGAAGGGAATCGCCCCGCGGCGACTAGAGCCCTTTCCCTTCCTCCTTAAAGGGACCGACACCCAAGCCTTCTCCCCGCCCCCTCCCCGCCGGGAGGGGAGCTTACAGAAGGGTTGGGTGTTTGCGGGGAGGCACCCGCCCCCCACCTTCACCCCCGACCCCAGCTGCCACTTTTCTCCTCCATATACATTCATTCGAAGGTCGGGGCCTGGGGTGCAGAAGGGTCAGGCGCCTGGAGTCTGGGTGCCTGTGTCCCCCCCACCCCCCAGGGGCTGGGGGCTGGGGACCCCGAATGAAGAGAGGGCTGGGGGCGGGGAGTCCCCCTGCACCACTAGGTCCCGAGGGAGGAGGGCAGGAGCTCTGGGTATGTCGCAGGGGGAGGGCCTGGGGTCTGGGGCTTGGCCTGCTGGGTCCCCAGAAAGGCGGGAGGGGTCCCCATGCCAGTTCTGAATGTATATATGATGCGTGTGACCCTCTTTTTTCCTTTGCGGCCACCCTGGTTTCCCTTCCCCCGTCCTCCCTCCCATGCCCTCCCGACCCCCCAGAGCGGCTGGAGGAGGGAACTGGGCTCCCGGGGGCAAGGCTTGGGGGTTCGGTTCCCTCCTCAGCCCCCCATGAGCTCTGCCTAATTTTCTCTTTGCATCCTTTCACCAGAGGAGGAGCGCCCCAAACCAAGGTGAGATCCTAGGGTGTGTGTGTCCCCCAAGCACATCCTCCTGAGTATGTCGCCCACCTTCAGGGATAGGGTGGGAGGGAAAAGAGAGAGAGAGAGAGAGAGAGAGAGGAGGGAAGGCTGACCGCACCCCTGCAGCCCTGCCCAATACAAATATAATGCAAGCTCTGCATGTACCAATAACCTTAAATTTGACTATTTTTACCCTAGCCGGTTTGGCTCAGTGGCTAGAGCCTTGGCCTGTGGACTGAAAGGTCCCAGGTTCGATTCCAGTCAAGGGCACATGCCTGGTTGTGGGCTCGATCCCCAATAGGGGGCGTGCAGGAGGCAGCCAATCAATGATTTGCTCTCATCATTGATGTTTCTATCTCCCTCTCTCTCAAATCAATAAAATCTATTTGAAAATATTTTACTAGCCGCATTTTACAAAGTAAGACAAAACACATAGAACTAATCTTTTTTCTCCTCCCAGAAATATTGTTATTGATTTCAGAGAGGAGGGAGATGGAGAGAAACATCAATGATAAGAGGAAATCATGGCCCTGACCGGTTTGGCTCAGTGGATAGAGCGTCAGCCTGCTGACTGAAGGGTCCCAGGTTCAATTCCGGTCAAGGGCATGTACGTTGGTTGCGGGCACATCCCCAGTAGGGGGTGTGCAGGAGGCAGCTGATGGATGTTTCTAACTCTCTATTCCCTCTCCCTTCTTCTCTGTAAAAAAATCAATAAAATATATTTTCATAAAAAAGAGAGAGAGAATCATGGACCGACCGCCTCCTGCACACCCTACACTGGGGATGGAGCCTGCAACCCCCGGCAGGTGCCCTGACCGGGAATCGAACCCGGGACCTCCTGGCTCACAGGTGGACGCTCAACCACTGAGCCACACCGGCCCAGCTAATCTTAATATTATATTTATTCAACCTGTGATCTGTGAAATTTCATTATTGAAACATTTAATTAACATAACACGTGAGAGTAGTTTGTAGCAAGTCCTGGAAATCAGATGTGTGTTTCCTTGCGTCCCTGGGATTGGGCCCAGGCACCTCGCCGGTGCCCAGAACCCGGATAGCTGGTGGCGGGGAGTATCAGGGACCCCCAACCCTCACTGTCTTCCTCTTCTTCCCCGTCCCCCCAGCCGCCCCGTGGTACCTCCACTGATCCCCCCAAAGATCCCGGAAGGGGAACGTGTGGACTTCGATGTAAGTAACCCACCTCCCCCAATCCGCCTTCCAGCAGCTGCAAACCCTTAGGCCAGCGGTTCTCAACCTTTCACAGGGGTCTCCTCTAAGACCATCGGAAAACACATATATAATTACATATTGTTTTTGTGATGAATCACTATGCTTTAATGATGTTCAATTTGTAACAATGACAATACATCCTGCATATCAGATATTTGTATTACGATTCATAACAGTAGCAAAATTACAGTTATGAGGTAGCAACGAAAATAATTTTATGGTTGGGGGTCACCACAACATGAGGAACTGTATTAAAGGGTCGCGGCATTAGGAAGGTTGAGAACCACTGCCTTAGGCTGCCTTGATGCAAATTAGAAAAAAAAAAGCAAAAAAACCCACAAAAACCAAGTAGGGTCCGAACACGGTGCTTTGCTGCCACCTGCTGGACATTTTGTGAACTGTCAACGCCGCGGATTCCTGCGGGGAAGGGCGCTGCCCGGGAATGATGGGGTTCCCACGGGAATGACGGGGCTCCCACGGGAATGATGGGGCTCCCACGCCCCGTCCTGCAGGACATCCACCGGAAGCGCATGGAGAAAGACTTGTTGGAGCTGCAGACGCTCATCGACGTGCACTTCGAGCAGCGCAAGAAGGAGGAGGAGCTGCGTCCCGCAGGACATCCACCGGAAGCGCATGGAGAAAGACCTGTTGGAGCTGCAGACGCTCATCGACGTGCACTTCGAGCAGCGCAAGAAGGAGGAGGAGGAGCTCATTGCGCTGAAAGACCGCATTGTGAGTCGGGGTGCGGGTGGGGCTCCCCCAAGTCCTCCCCCGCCCCCCCGGTGGTGCCATCCTCTGGGTCTTGGGGGGATAACGGAGAACGGATCCTGTCCAATACCGTCCCAAGGCCGAGACTTTCGGAAATGGACCCACGTCTGGCCACACTCAAATGTGTGCACTTTTTTTTTTTTTGCTCTGGACCTCATCTGGGGATGGGGGGTCTCGGGTGGGTGGTGGTGCCTGCACCCCCTCATTCTTCTCCGCCCCCCAGGAGCGGCGCCGGGCGGAGAGAGCGCAGCAGCAGCGCTTCAGAACCGAGAAGGAGCGGGAGCGGCAGGCCCGGCTGGCGGTGGGTGCCTCCCTGTGGGAGCCCCAATGTTCCTTCTTGCGCTGAGCTGATCTCTCCAGTTTCCATTCATGATATTCTCTGGGGTCCCCCAAAGGTCCTCACGCTGTGTTAGTCAAGGACCTTTCAGTTGGAAGGAACAGGAACCCCAACCCAGGCTGGATTCAGCAGAAAGAAAGTTTTATTGGCTCCTGACAAACAAAAGTCTAGGGCGAGTCTGCTTCAGGCATGGCTGGATCAAGCAACTCAAACAAATCTACCTATCTATAATAATAAAAGCATAATACGCTAATTAGACTGGACAGCCTAACAACCTTCTGGATGTCATTCCGGATGTCCTTCCTGATGAAGCCACGGTGGTGGGGGCCGAGGCAGAGGCAGTTAGGGGTGATCAGGATCAGGCAGGCAGGCAAGCAGTTAGGGGTGATGAGGCAGGCAGGCAGAGTGGTTAGGGGCGATCAGGCAGGGATCGGGCCTAAACTGGCAGTTGGACATCCCCTGAGGGGTCCTGGATTGCGAGAGGGTGCAGGGCGGGCTGAGGGGACTCCCCTCCTGTGCACAAATTTTGTACACCGGGCCTCTAGTATATATATAAGCGTAATATGCAAATCGACCGGATGGCGGACCGACTGCTCAGCTATGATGCGCACTGACCACCAGGGGGCAGACGCTTAAAGCAGGAGCTGCCCCCAGCCCACAGGCCCCGATCGATCGCCCAATGGGGAACCAGGAACTGGGGGTGGGTGGCAGTGGTCGCAGGTGGCACTGGGGCCTGATTGCCCTGCCAGTCGCCCCACACACAGAGGGCAAGCGGGGGCGACGGTGGGGGGCAGGGAGATGGGCCCTGATTGCAGGCCAGGCCTAGGGACCCTCCCCGTGCAGGAATTTCGTGCGCTGGGCCTCTAGTCCTATAATAAAGACCCAGTGTTTCTTTTCCCATCTTTCCATGCATGTCTCGGTGACCAGCTCACCCCTGCTTGCCGGGGGCTTCCCTGGTCTGAGCCCTGATAATCCTGCATCCCGTCTGTCCCAGGCAAACTGGAGTGGTCCCCCGTCCCTAACTGGTGAGAGTGTTTAGAACGCGCCCATGGCTTCAGGCCTTGGAACCGTGATCTGTGGTGGCATCCAGGAAGCGCCCGCTAGGACCACTTTTAAGGACCGGGAGTAGGGTGGTGTGGGGGGCAGAATAAGGGTGTCCCCAAGCAGCTCACACCCTGATTCCTGGGACCTGACACGGGAAAAGGGACTTTGCAGATGTGGCTAAGGGTCTGGAGACGGGGAGATGGTCTCGGGTGATCCGGGTGGGCTCAGTGCCCTCACCGGGTGGTGGTGGGAGGGAGTTGGAACAGTCGGGGCCAGGAGCAAAGGGATGCAGGCAGCGCCCGGAATCCGGGGAAGGTCAGGCCTCGGGGTTGAACCCCTTTTCCCACAGGAGGAGAAAATGCGGAAGGAAGAGGAGGAGGCCAAGAAGCGGGCTGAGGATGATGCCAAGAAGAAGAAGGTCCTGTCCAACATGGGGGCCCATTTTGGGGGTTACCTGGTCAAGGTGAGCTCAGCTGCCTTGGACTTGAGGTCTAGGTTACCAGGGAGGAGGGCTGGGGGCCTGGACTCCTGGGTCTGAGGGAGGAGGCTGGGGGCTTGGACTCCTGGGTCTGAGGGAGGAGGGCTGGGGGCCTGGCCTCCTGGGTCTGAGGGAGGAGGGCTGGGGGCCTGGCCTCCTGGGTCTGAGGGAGGAGGGCTGGGGGCCTGGCCTCCTGGGTCTGAGGGAGGAGGGCTGGGGGCCTGGCCTCCTGGGTCTGAGGGAGGAGGGCTGGGGGCCTGGCCTCCTGGGTCTGAGGGAGGAGGGCTGGGGGCCTGGCCTCCTGGGTCTGAGGGAGGAGGGCTGGGGGCCTGGCCTCCTGGGTCTGAGGGAGGAGGGCTGGGGGCCTGGCCTCCTGGGTCTGAGGGAGGAGGGCTGGGGGCCTGGCCTCCTGGGTCTGAGGGAGGAGGGCTGGGGGCCTGGCCTCCTGGGTCTGAGGGAGGAGGGCTGGGGGCCTGGCCTCCTGGGTCTGAGGGAGGAGGGCTGGGGGCCTGGCCTCCTGGGTCTGAGGGAGGAGGGCTGGGGGCCTGGCCTCCTGGGTCTGAGGGAGGAGGGCTGGGGGCCTGGCCTCCTGGGTCTGAGGGAGGAGGGCTGGGGGCCTGGCCTCCTGGGTCTGAGGGAGGAGGGCTGGGGGCCTGGCCTCCTGGGTCTGAGGGAGGAGGGCTGGGGGCCTGGCCTCCTGGGTCTGAGGGAGGAGGGCTGGGGGCCTGGCCTCCTGGGTCTGAGGGAGGAGGGCTGGGGGCCTGGCCTCCTGGGTCTGAGGGAGGAGGGCTGGGGGCCTGGCCTCCTGGGTCTGAGGGAGGAGGGCTGGGGGCCTGGCCTCCTGGGTCTGAGGGAGGAGGGCTGGGGGCCTGGCCTCCTGGGTCTGAGGGAGGAGGGCTGGGGGCCTGGCCTCCTGGGTCTGAGGGAGGAGGGCTGGGGGCCTGGCCTCCTGGGTCTGAGGGAGGAGGGCTGGGGGCCTGGCCTCCTGGGTCTGAGGGAGGAGGGCTGGGGGCCTGGCCTCCTGGGTCTGAGGGAGGAGGGCTGGGGGCCTGGCCTCCTGGGTCTGAGGGAGGAGGGCTGGGGGCCTGGCCTCCTGGGTCTGAGGGAGGAGGGCTGGGGGCCTGGCCTCCTGGGTCTGAGGGAGGAGGGCTGGGGGCCTGGCCTCCTGGGTCTGAGGGAGGAGGGCTGGGGGCCTGGCCTCCTGGGTCTGAGGGAGGAGGGCTGGGGGCCTGGCCTCCTGGGTCTGAGGGAGGAGGGCTGGGGGCCTGGCCTCCTGGGTCTGAGGGAGGAGGGCTGGGGGCCTGGCCTCCTGGGTCTGAGGGAGGAGGGCTGGGGGCCTGGCCTCCTGGGTCTGAGGGAGGAGGGCTGGGGGCCTGGCCTCCTGGGTCTGAGGGAGGAGGGCTGGGGGCCTGGCCTCCTGGGTCTGAGGGAGGAGGGCTGGGGGCCTGGCCTCCTGGGTCTGAGGGAGGAGGGCTGGGGGCCTGGCCTCCTGGGTCTGAGGGAGGAGGGCTGGGGGCCTGGCCTCCTGGGTCTGAGGGAGGAGGGCTGGGGGCCTGGCCTCCTGGGTCTGAGGGAGGAGGGCTGGGGGCCTGGCCTCCTGGGTCTGAGGGAGGAGGGCTGGGGGCCTGGCCTCCTGGGTCTGAGGGAGGAGGGCTGGGGGCCTGGCCTCCTGGGTCTGAGGGAGGAGGGCTGGGGGCCTGGCCTCCTGGGTCTGAGGGAGGAGGGCTGGGGGCCTGGCCTCCTGGGTCTGAGGGAGGAGGGCTGGGGGCCTGGCCTCCTGGGTCTGAGGGAGGAGGGCTGGGGGCCTGGCCTCCTGGGTCTGAGGGAGGAGGGCTGGGGGCCTGGCCTCCTGGGTCTGAGGGAGGAGGGCTGGGGGCCTGGCCTCCTGGGTCTGAGGGAGGAGGGCTGGGGGCCTGGCCTCCTGGGTCTGAGGGAGGAGGGCTGGGGGCCTGGCCTCCTGGGTCTGAGGGAGGAGGGCTGGGGGCCTGGCCTCCTGGGTCTGAGGGAGGAGGGCTGGGGGCCTGGCCTCCTGGGTCTGAGGGAGGAGGGCTGGGGGCCTGGCCTCCTGGGTCTGAGGGAGGAGGGCTGGGGGCCTGGCCTCCTGGGTCTGAGGGAGGAGGGCTGGGGGCCTGGCCTCCTGGGTCTGAGGGAGGAGGGCTGGGGGCCTGGCCTCCTGGGTCTGAGGGAGGAGGGCTGGGGGCCTGGCCTCCTGGGTCTGAGGGAGGAGGGCTGGGGGCCTGGCCTCCTGGGTCTGAGGGAGGAGGGCTGGGGGCCTGGCCTCCTGGGTCTGAGGGAGGAGGGCTGGGGGCCTGGCCTCCTGGGTCTGAGGGAGGAGGGCTGGGGGCCTGGCCTCCTGGGTCTGAGGGAGGAGGGCTGGGGGCCTGGCCTCCTGGGTCTGAGGGAGGAGGGCTGGGGGCCTGGCCTCCTGGGTCTGAGGGAGGAGGGCTGGGGGCCTGGCCTCCTGGGTCTGAGGGAGGAGGGCTGGGGGCCTGGCCTCCTGGGTCTGAGGGAGGAGGGCTGGGGGCCTGGCCTCCTGGGTCTGAGGGAGGAGGGCTGGGGGCCTGGCCTCCTGGGTCTGAGGGAGGAGGGCTGGGGGCCTGGCCTCCTGGGTCTGAGGGAGGAGGGCTGGGGGCCTGGCCTCCTGGGTCTGAGGGAGGAGGGCTGGGGGCCTGGCCTCCTGGGTCTGAGGGAGGAGGGCTGGGGGCCTGGCCTCCTGGGTCTGAGGGAGGAGGGCTGGGGGCCTGGCCTCCTGGGTCTGAGGGAGGAGGGCTGGGGGCCTGGCCTCCTGGGTCTGAGGGAGGAGGGCTGGGGGCCTGGCCTCCTGGGTCTGAGGGAGGAGGGCTGGGGGCCTGGCCTCCTGGGTCTGAGGGAGGAGGGCTGGGGGCCTGGCCTCCTGGGTCTGAGGGAGGAGGGCTGGGGGCCTGGCCTCCTGGGTCTGAGGGAGGAGGGCTGGGGGCCTGGCCTCCTGGGTCTGAGGGAGGAGGGCTGGGGGCCTGGCCTCCTGGGTCTGAGGGAGGAGGGCTGGGGGCCTGGCCTCCTGGGTCTGAGGGAGGAGGGCTGGGGGCCTGGCCTCCTGGGTCTGAGGGAGGAGGGCTGGGGGCCTGGCCTCCTGGGTCTGAGGGAGGAGGGCTGGGGGCCTGGCCTCCTGGGTCTGAGGGAGGAGGGCTGGGGGCCTGGCCTCCTGGGTCTGAGGGAGGAGGGCTGGGGGCCTGGCCTCCTGGGTCTGAGGGAGGAGGGCTGGGGGCCTGGCCTCCTGGGTCTGAGGGAGGAGGGCTGGGGGCCTGGCCTCCTGGGTCTGAGGGAGGAGGGCTGGGGGCCTGGCCTCCTGGGTCTGAGGGAGGAGGGCTGGGGGCCTGGCCTCCTGGGTCTGAGGGAGGAGGGCTGGGGGCCTGGCCTCCTGGGTCTGAGGGAGGAGGGCTGGGGGCCTGGCCTCCTGGGTCTGAGGGAGGAGGGCTGGGGGCCTGGCCTCCTGGGTCTGAGGGAGGAGGGCTGGGGGCCTGGCCTCCTGGGTCTGAGGGAGGAGGGCTGGGGGCCTGGCCTCCTGGGTCTGAGGGAGGAGGGCTGGGGGCCTGGCCTCCTGGGTCTGAGGGAGGAGGGCTGGGGGCCTGGCCTCCTGGGTCTGAGGGAGGAGGGCTGGGGGCCTGGCCTCCTGGGTCTGAGGGAGGAGGGCTGGGGGCCTGGCCTCCTGGGTCTGAGGGAGGAGGGCTGGGGGCCTGGCCTCCTGGGTCTGAGGGAGGAGGGCTGGGGGCCTGGCCTCCTGGGTCTGAGGGAGGAGGGCTGGGGGCCTGGCCTCCTGGGTCTGAGGGAGGAGGGCTGGGGGCCTGGCCTCCTGGGTCTGAGGGAGGAGGGCTGGGGGCCTGGCCTCCTGGGTCTGAGGGAGGAGGGCTGGGGGCCTGGCCTCCTGGGTCTGAGGGAGGAGGGCTGGGGGCCTGGCCTCCTGGGTCTGAGGGAGGAGGGCTGGGGGCCTGGCCTCCTGGGTCTGAGGGAGGAGGGCTGGGGGCCTGGCCTCCTGGGTCTGAGGGAGGAGGGCTGGGGGCCTGGCCTCCTGGGTCTGAGGGAGGAGGGCTGGGGGCCTGGCCTCCTGGGTCTGAGGGAGGAGGGCTGGGGGCCTGGCCTCCTGGGTCTGAGGGAGGAGGGCTGGGGGCCTGGCCTCCTGGGTCTGAGGGAGGAGGGCTGGGGGCCTGGCCTCCTGGGTCTGAGGGAGGAGGGCTGGGGGCCTGGCCTCCTGGGTCTGAGGGAGGAGGGCTGGGGGCCTGGCCTCCTGGGTCTGAGGGAGGAGGGCTGGGGGCCTGGCCTCCTGGGTCTGAGGGAGGAGGGCTGGGGGCCTGGCCTCCTGGGTCTGAGGGAGGAGGGCTGGGGGCCTGGCCTCCTGGGTCTGAGGGAGGAGGGCTGGGGGCCTGGCCTCCTGGGTCTGAGGGAGGAGGGCTGGGGGCCTGGCCTCCTGGGTCTGAGGGAGGAGGGCTGGGGGCCTGGCCTCCTGGGTCTGAGGGAGGAGGGCTGGGGGCCTGGCCTCCTGGGTCTGAGGGAGGAGGGCTGGGGGCCTGGCCTCCTGGGTCTGAGGGAGGAGGGCTGGGGGCCTGGCCTCCTGGGTCTGAGGGAGGAGGGCTGGGGGCCTGGCCTCCTGGGTCTGAGGGAGGAGGGGCTGGGGGCCTGGATGCCTGAGATCCTGTGGGAGAAGGTGGCCTGGATCCCGGGCCCCTGGGTGCTGACGCGGGAAACCATCTGGAGGATTCGTACCCCAACTCAAGGCGTCCCCTTCCCAATCCTCAGGCAGAACAAAAGCGGGGGAAGCGCCAGACGGGGCGGGAGATGAAGCTCCGCATCCTGTCTGAGCGGAAGAAGCCTCTGGACATTGACCACTTGGGCGAGGAGCAGCTCCGGTAGGTGGGGAGGTAGGTGGGGAGGCCTGGGTGTGAGACAGGGAGCTAGGGACCCTCCTCCAGATCCGGGTCGCAGGCGCCGGGTGCTGTGTGGCTTTGGGCCAGTGTCTCCCCCTCTCTGGGCCCCTGTAGAGTCCTCTGTGAAACATGTCACGGATACAGGGCCCACTCTGTGGGTGCCGAGACCTGTGAGTGAAGGTTGGCAAGATGATATTTTACATCTTTTATCTCACCCTAGAAGAGCTCAGTGCAGTAGACTTTTATCAGTTAAGAATAAATTTGGGCCCTGGCTGGTTTGGCTCAGTGGATAGAGCGTCAGCCTGTGGACTGAAGGGTCCTGGGTTCGATTCCAGTCAAGGGCACAGGCCCAGGTTGTGGGCTTGATCCCCAGTAGGGAACATGCAGGAGGCAGCCCATCAATGATTCTCTCTCATCATTGATGTTTCTCTCTCTCTCCCTCACCCTTCCTCTCTAAAATCAATAATATATATATATTTTTTAAAAAGAATAAATTTGCTCTAACCGGTTTGGCTCAGTGGATAGAGCATCGGCCTGGGGACTCAAGGGCCCTGGGTTCGATTCCTGTCAAGGGCATGTACCTTGGTTGCGGGCACATCCCCAGTAGGGAGTGTGCAGGAGGCAGCTGATTGATGTTTCTCTCTCATGGATGTTTCTAACTCTCTATCCCTCTCCCTTCCTCTCTGTAAAAAATCAATAAAAATATTTAAAATAAAATATATTTTAAAAAAGAATACATTTGGCACCCGGCCAGTGTGGCTCATTGGTTTAACATCGGCCCAAGAACCAAGAGGTCCCTGGTTCAATTCCCGGTCAGGGCACATGCCCAGGTTTCGAGCTTGATCCCCATTAGGGGTCGTGCAGGAGGCAGCTGATCAATGATTCTTTCTCATCAATGTTTCTATCCCTCTCCCGTCTTCTCTTCTGTAAATCAATAAAAGTATACCTCCTGCTGGCACCCACACTGAGGCTGGGGGTGCAGCCTGCAGCAGAGGTACTTGCCCTGGACTGGAACGCTCCAACCATTGAGCCAAACTGGCCAGAGCTCTTTCCCAGTTTTATTTTATTTATTTATTTATTTTTTAAATATTTTTTTATTGATTTCAGAGAGGAAGGGAGGGGAAGAAACATCAATGATGAGAGAGAATCATTGATCGGCTGCCTCCTGATCGCCCCCTACTGGGGATGTGCCCACAACACCCAGGCATGTGCCCTTGACGGTAATCGAACCCAGGACCCATCAGTCTACAGGCAGACGCTCTATGCACTGAGCCAAACCGGCTAGGGCTATTCTTATTTTTTTTTAATTCTTTGGCTCAACTAAGCAAGAGATGAAACCTAAAAGTCAGAATAACAGCTTTGTCTACATAAAAATGTAACTACTTGAACCACAGGGAAAAATTACTAACATATGACCAAATGTTCATCTACTTTTAGTGTATGGATTCACATAAGAAATACAAAAAAAGGCAATCCAAAAAGTAAAAACCAGAATGGATAACACAAATGTACAGTGGTTCCTCCCTTAGCCTTGTATCCATGCATATGAGCATGACCAATGGACACTGACAATAGGGGGTGGGGGCATGTGCTGGGGGCGGGAGCAGGCGGACAGAGGTCAATGGGGGAAAAGAGGGCCTGTCCCCTGCTGTCCCAGCATCGCCCTCCCTCCCTCCGCAGATCAACCTGCTCTACAATCGCATCAGCCATGCCCAGAAGTTGTAAGTGTGACTGAGCCCCACACCCTCCCTTTTGCCCTCCCCTCCACCCCTCCCTCGCCATGTCCCTCTATTTTTTAAAAAATTGATTTCAGCCCTTCCTGGTTTGGCTCAGTGGATAGAGCATCGGCCTGCGGACTGAAGGATCCCGGGTTCGATTCCAGTCGGGGCACGTGTCCGGGTTGCGGGCTTGATTCCCAGTGGGGCGTGTGCAGGAGGCAGCCGATCAGTGATTCTCTCGATTCTCTCTCATCATTGATGTTTCTCTCTCTCTCTCGCTCCCTCTCCCTTCCTCTCTGAAATCAATAAAAATATTTTAAAAAATTGATTTCAGAGAGGAAGGGAGAGGGAGAGAGAGAGAGAAACATCAATGATGAGAGAGAATCATTGGTCAGCTGCCTCCTGCACGCCCCCCACTGGGGATCGATTGGCAACGCAGGCATGTGCCCTTGGCCGGAATTGAACCCGGGACCCTTCAGTCTGCAGGCCGACGCTCTATCCACTGAGCCACACCAGCCAGGGCCATGTGTCTCTAAGTCACTGGTTCTCAAGGATGGGGGTGACCTTGCTGCCCAGGGGACGTCAGGCAAAGGCCGGCCCGCTTTCGGCTGTCCCCCCTGCCCGGTGCTCCTGGAGGCGGCTCAACACCCTCCAGGGCCTGGGACAGCGCCCCAGAGCAGAGACCCGGCTCCCAGTCATGGGCATAACTCCCAGCAGCACCCCCCCAGCACCTCAACTCAGCACAGACACTCCATGAGACACTGGGGTCTTCGAGCATGAACCCCACCGCCCCAGCCAGCGAACCCCGATGAGAAGGCACTTGCCCGCCTCTTCCTCTGGGCGTGGAGGGCGGGCCTCTTGGGGCTCCCATCTCAGAGGCCTGAGGAGCCCTCCCTCCTGACACCCCCTCCTTCTCCCGCAGCCGGAAGGGGGCAGCGAAGGGCCGCCTTGGAGGCCGCTGGAAGTGAGGATGGGGGGGGGCCACCCGGAGGCGTCCGAGCCCCTGGAGTGCTGGTCCCGTCTGTGTCCTGAAATAAAGGCTCCGCCCGCGGGCACCTGCTGAGGTCGTTGTTATTATTATTTTAAATATGTTTGTGTTGATTTCAGAGAGGAAGGGAGAGGGAGGGAGAGAGAAACATCAATGATGAGAGAGAATCATGGATCGGCTGCCTCCCGCAGGCCCCACACTGGGGATGGAGCCTGCAACCCGGGCGTGTGCCCTGACGGGGAATCGAACCATGACCTCCAGGTTCATAGGTCGACACTCAACCACTGAGCCACATGGGCCGGGCTAGGGTTTTTGAGAAGTGGATGAAGAGACCAGAGCTTTCTCTCCACCATGTGAGGACACAGCGAGAAGGTGACGATCTACAAGCCAGGAGGAGGGCTCTCACCTGAGCCCCCCACGCTGGCACCCGCTCTCAGGCGTCCAGACCCCAGCAGCTGGGAGACGGACTCGCTGGTGGATGAGCCACGCAGTGGATGGTGTGCTTGTCGGAGTATGAGCAGCCTGCGTTGGCTGGGACAGTCAGCGCTCCAGCAGCCTCCCCCTCCCTTGACGTCTCACAGCGCACTTCCCTCTCACACGCAACAGGCCCTTTTGTGCAAGTGGCTCTCGCAAGAGCTGTGTCTAAATGCCAGGAGCCAGAGCTGACTGGTCACATGCTTAGTCAGTCCTGTTTCCACACCGGGCGGGAGAGTGCACCCGGGGCTCCGCCCTCGAACATTCGCGGTTCAGCCCTGGATCTGAACCATCTTTGCGATGCGGACCAGCATCTGGGTTTCAGCCTGTTGCAGGGGAAGAGGGAACATCTTTTCTCTTTCTTTTTAAAAAATATGTGTGTGTGTGTGTGTGTGTGTGTGCGCGTGTGTGTGTATATATATATTTAAATATATTTTTATTGATTTCAGAGAGGAAGGGAGTGGGGGAGAGAGAAACATAAATGATGAGAGAGAATCATTGATAGGCTGCCTCCTGCACGCCCCCTACTGGGGATCGAGCCCACAACCCTGACATGTGCCCTTGACCGGAATCAAACCTGGGACCCTTCAGTCCGCAGGCCAGTGCTCTATCCACTGAGCCAAACTGGCTAGGGCTAATATATATATATATATTGATTTTAGAGACAAGAAGGGAAAGGGAGAGAGAGATAGAAATATCAATGAGAGAGAAACATCGATCGGCTGCCTCCTGCACGGCCCTTCACCCATCACTGCCCCCCCGACCCCCCGGGATTGAGCCTGCAACCCGGGCCTGTGCCCTGACTTGAATTGAACCATGACCTCCTGGTTTATGGGCTGACGCTCAACCACTGAGCCACAACAGCCGGGCGGGAACATTTTTATTATTATTATTTGAAACCATTGAGGCTATTTTCACCAGCAGTGAGGAGGGCCTGCAGCTCTGAGGTCAAGCATCGATACTCCAGGGTTATTACTGAGAGAAAACAGGACTGAGGGTAGAAGAGAATTTAATGAGTGGAGTCTGAAAATGCCTGCACACAGCCAACGTCTTGCACCTAGCAGATACTTTACGCCTGCTGCCTCGACAATCCCAGAGGTGGAGAGACTGGGCCAGGTCCCAGAGCTAGGAAGGGGGCCGAGACGAGGTTCCAACTCAGGACTGCCTAAGCCACAGCTGGAATGCTTCACCATGGCAGTGGAATAGAATTTTTGAAATAGAAGTTAAAGTCGATTAAAAATTGCCGAGAGAGCTTATGGTGGGAGCGCGTCCTGCAGATCCTTCTGTGGGTTGAGCAGATACCTCAAATTCTGTCTGCCACAAACAAGTGGTCACAGTCACACAAAAATGCAGATGGATTTCACACCAAAGCTTATGGACACCGTAAGCAGAGGCACCCACCCAGCCACACAAATTGCAAATGCACATGATTATAATGTGTCACCATATGCACAGGCATGGAGACACATCCAGCAACCTATGGATGATTTACTGCCTAACAAGGTTGATAGGTAGGTGTATGAGAAGAGTGAGGCTGAGGACTACATATCCCAAGAGACATGGAGACTGGTATGCCCTTTTGTATCTATGGCCGGTCCTCCCAAAGTCTCATGGGATTTGTAGTTTATTTCTTTGCACAGGCCCAAGGACTTCAGAGTGGGTAGAGTCTCTTTCTTCTGTCCAGATTTCAGCCCCTTTCTATGTGTCTTATTCTGGTCTCAGAGTGACTGCAGGATACTTAAGGTGAGGATTATTTTGTGCTTCATAGTGCTAGGTATGAGACCACTCGCCCTGAACTACAAATCCCAGCATGGCTTGCAGGGGTGTGTAGGGACTGGACTACATTTCCCAGCGTGCTTCACGACCCAGGGCGAGACCAAGGGAAGCGAGAGCCAATAGGTTCTGTGGGTGCTCATTGTGGATCCCTCTTCTTGGGTTCCTTTCCCCATATGATCCAGGAGTTATCAGGGACTTGGGACTTCTCTTGCTAATGAGCCTGATTTCTTGAGGTGGTACCAAGTGAGTCTTTAGGGGCGTGGCCATGCGGACTACATTTCCCAGCAGGCCCCAGGCTGTTGGCCCATTGCTGTGAACTTTGTGCCAAAAAAGTGAATTTCCCAGCATGCAGTGGGCGGCCAGCCAGGGAGGCTTGGACATGCATTGCCTTTAATGATTTAGGGGTTGCGGACTCAATTTCCCATGGTGCCCTGAAGTTTTTCAGGACCTAGGGAATCCCCTTACTCATTCATTCAGAAACTATTTTCAGTTACTATTAGGCTAAGTTCTGGGCTCTGGGAACAAGGAGTGCACACAGAAGCAAAATTCGCTGTTTTCCTGTAGCTTATTTCTGGTTGAAGGGAGCAGACAGCCCAAAATACATCAATTCGATGATATGAGGAAAGCTGATAAGGAAAAATTATCTTTATATTTTTAGGACTTCCGGGCTGCAGAGTCCCTTTTCCTACCAGGTCCCCTCCCTGAGATACTCAACTACATTTCCCAGCATGCCGTGGGGGGGGCACACCTCCGACCGACAAACTCCATTTCCCAGTGTCGCTCGGGGCATCCCCTCCGTTAGAGTTCCATTTGACCCCTGAGACTAGCGGATTTCCCAGTCTGCCTGGGGGCAGCTAGAGGCTGGAACGCTGCCCTTAGCAACCTCCTCTTGCTGGAGATTCCCCTTCCCAGCGCTCCCCGCGGCTCTCTGTGACCCGTGGACTGCATTTCCCAGCGA